GTCGGGGAACAGCTTTTGTTTCTCACTTTGAGCAAATTCTGTGAAAGGAAACAAGCTTCAGGACTGATGACAAATGTTCCACTTTTCAGATACACAGAGTCGCAGCACACACAACCAAATGGGGGACAATTTCTAAATAAACTGTGACATCAACACATGCACAGTCTGTGATCCAAGTCAAGGATGAGGACAGTTTTGAAACAGGGTGAGGGCCGCAGCTTTCTGCAGCCTTTGTTTCTCCAGTGGACAATTTGTCTGTGTTTCATGTAGTTGCAGAGCAGCCAAGTTGGCATTTTCACCACCCATCTTTTTCTGGCGCCACAGTATAAATCATAGACGGTATAAAAGATTGTCGTAGCCCTCTGATTTCACCCACTGAAGTATCAAGATTAGAATTTCAACTTCGTCATCTTGACTGTTGAAGCCAGATGTGACGAGCAAAGGCTGAACGTGTCCTTTGGCCAATTTATAACCAGCTGTGTGAAATTTCTGGTTGATTGGATTGGTGATTGATTGGACTCCTTTGTTAGCCCAACCAATCACCAATCAGATATTAATTCAGATAGATAGTTATTAAGATAGGTAGATTTATTATTTTGTTTTTAGTTCATTTAGCAATTTCAAACATGTTAAAATTTAGATGAGATGTATTAGTTTGCCTCAACCCGAACAAGAATGTAAAACAATACAATTAAACTTCCTGCAGCCTCAGTGAGGTACGGGTAGTCCAGGTCTCAAATTAGGAGTCAACTTTCTAATTAACCTGGAGCATTAATTCTAGCTTTATATAGAAATATGCATGGAAATGGGTGCAGACAACCATGACCTCTTGCTGTACTTTGATGGCAGGTGGTTGAGGAAAGGTGCTGACCTGCTTGTTTTACCTTTTTCTGCACAAAGTGCCAAGCTGGCTTAACTGACGCTTGAACTCATCTGAATGAAAGCATGCAAGACTCAGGCACATCCATCCCAATGAACAGGGATCCATTTACAGCACTCACAGGCGCGTGGGGCTTGTTTTCATGTTCTGACCTTGTAAAGTATGAAAGATGCAGTGTGTACTATGCTGCCAAAGGCAACTGTCACAACCATTTTAAACTCTGATTTGAAATTTTTTTCTGACCAACTATTTTTTCCCCCACAGATTCATAGATGGGGTACATATTTTTACTTATTTCACCATTTGCAACTGAGTGAGTCTAAATACAGCCTGCTCTAAAGCCTCCCTCTACCCAACCCTGACATCCTGTTCAAGAAACCCACGGCTGAAGGCTCGGACTGCAGGTTCCACTGCTGTGAGAAATCCCACATACAGCCCAACACAAGACATGCTCTAAAGCATGAATGGAAATGAATATATTAATGCAATGAATATGGCCCAAAGCGACTAACAACAGTGGTTCCAACTTTGTGGCATCACAATGCTACCAGTTTTTTAGCATTGGCACCAAACTTTCTGAGTGGAAATACATGAAACTGATGTCAGGCTAGGCCTTGGCACTACTTTGGGTGAAAAAGAAGCAATCATCAGGTTGTCGTCCTGACAGAGACAAACCAACAAATGATGTTTAAAACAGACTTTTACCAAACTGAAAGTAAATCACCACTATGAACAGATGAGCAGATGTGTTTTCATTCATAACACAGAGTAAACATTTCTTTAAGCAAGAAATCGCCTTTTATCTTATTTCTACTATTAGATCAAGACCAATATCCATTTGCAGTTTGCATACATAACAAACAGCCACATTTAAGCTTCTTTCTTTTTGCTGATCATTCTTAACCCAGGTATGTTTTTCTTAAATGTGCAACAGTTAAAAAGCTATTTCAGAACAATTAGGAATTACATTGAAGTGGTTATTCACACAAAGGTATGGATTTTATAGCTTATAATGCCGTTTTTATTTGTTAATTTAGGGGCAAGTCAGTTGTGAAAGCTCTTTTTAACTTCATAGTGGCAACAAATCTAAACTGAGGAGTCAGTTGTCAACAAATTTCAAGAAAGCCCATGATTATCAAGGTGAAACTTCCTCAACAGCAAGGCCATTGGAACATTCAAAGGGATGTATCGACAGCATAAGTCACTGAAGGTGCCGTTTTCATATACATAAATATATATAAAGCACAAAGCACAACTAAAGGTGAAGGATGCATGGAAACTTTCTGTGTTTGCATGGACACTTCCAGCATGCACATCCTTTGATGAGCGAGCCAAGGACTTGATAAAGGCAGACTTATCAACAGCCCAGCACCTCAGGTGAGCCTTCCAACATTTTCCAGATGGACAAATGCTCTCCAATCACCTTTACTTTGACTTTCCAAGACTCCCAAATTGTCTTTTGTCTAATTGCAACAGTCTAAAAGCAAACAGTTGTTTCTGATCCCAGTGACACATGAGACTAGCGACAAGGCTGCAAAAATCCTCTGTCCTTACTTTTATCGTTTATATTCCATCCTTCATTCCACCATGGCTTTAAAAGCACAAAGCTGCTCTGAACGACTCAACAGATGAGGGGAACAAGGTTAGAGGACTGGGATTTGGAACAGTATAAACAACCATGTGATCTTAATAGATGATTTATAAAAAGCCACCAGGGGGCACTGTTGTCATAGAAAAGCTCTGCAAAGGCAGAAGTGCAGGTACCTGTCACTGAGGTTGTCTCAACCATGTGGGTCACAGGAGCTCTGTTTTTTTCCTTTCCTTTTTTTTTTTTTTTTAAAGAGATGAACAATGAGCAGTGATGGGTAAGGGGGAAAGAATAACACAGAAATAAAAATTCATGCCAAGCAATCAGAATGAAAAATGGTTGTTCTGCAAATCAGTGTAATGAAAGAGGATTTAATGGAAAGGGAAAGCCTGAGCCAGGGAGCGATTACAATTCAAAGATGCTTTGAAATAATTACATATTCAGTACAAGAGCTGCTAATTGCACATATTCACACAATTCTCTGCTGATGTATCATCACTGTCAAACTTGGCCATCAACGAAATGGCATACTGTACAATGCTGATGACAAAAAGCCAACTTAGTATCAGAAATGGAAATCTGGTGCCATTTTTTGATGATCTCAGAATGGGTTTGGATAATGTAATAGCATAAAAAGAGCTTTATACCTGCCAAATTATTTAAAGGCTGACCTGAAATGACTGCTATTTGACACTGTTATTCTACTACAGATAACCCAGGACATTTAATCTGGAATATCTGCTATCCTCTGGTTCTCTCCTTTCAAGGTGTGGCATTTATGCCCTTCAATATCCAGATTTACATACTGTCCACTGAGTCTGTCTCTCAGTGCTTCATATGCTGGGATTAGAGTGGGATTTGGGAGGTGGGGACCAGAACTTCCAAGTAGCAATGCCTCAAGGTTAACTGACTCAAATAATCATTATTGTGAGCTCCGGTACATTTGCTCTCTTTATGTGAAGGCTATGACCACCTGACCGGTGCTGGTTTTGAGGTTTGCTTTAGCCACCAACATTCTACAATATACAGGCAGATGTTCCGTGAGCCTTTGTAGCTGCGTTCCAAATCATATTTTTAAAAGCGTCTTTCCTTCAAAGTTATACTTCGCCTTCATCTTTGCTGGTGAAAAACACTGTGGTCACAAAGGGATGGACATGATAAGCAACAATAATCTGACTGTTGTGTTTACACGATGCTCGGTTAGTATTAGCATTGCATAGAAAATATCCTCCTCCACCACCAGCCCGAACTGTCGATACAAAGCAGGATGGATCCATGCTTTCATGTTGTTTACACCAAATTCTGACCCCTCTATCTGAATGCTGACGCAAAATCAAGACTAATCAGACCAGGCACCATTTTTCCAACCTTCTGTTGTCCAATTATGGTGAGCCTATGTGAACTGCAAGCTCAGTTTGCCGTTGTCAGCTGATAGAGTGCCACCAAGTGTGGTCTTCTGCTGGTATTCTAAACGCATTAGGTTTCTGCCATGTTATTAGCTCATTAACAAGCATTTGAACTGTGGCTGGAGTGCAGTTCATCACTATGAGCTGTACCACAGTACTGCAAACTGCCCAGTTAAGCCTGCACCTGCTGTCAGTATAACCTTCATAATCACTTCCAAGTTTGAATTAACTTCAGCAACACCTGTCCAGATCCACACTCTGAATGAAAAAATCCAACATAAATCAGGACGTTACATAGGTAAGCTTTAAATTACCAGCTGATCGGATGCCACTTGCTACCTTTGAACGTGATCTCTTATCTTCTTCTCTTAAATCTTTTGTGATTTCTGACAGCACAGTTATCACACATTGTTATAATTGCTTATTAAGTGAAGGTGAGAACAAAACCATCCCATGGCCCACTTTAACCCCTGTTCATATCTATTTCTAACTACTCTTAACTCTTTCTCAGCTATTGTTTCTCAAGGTCTATGAATCAACCATCAATATTCAAGCCAACATGAGTGGGAAATCTGAGCGTTCCTTGCATCCTGATGAGAGCCCTTTTTCTAAGCTAATATTAGCAAGATGGAAATCAAAGATGCACTGAGGCAAGGCACAAGCATGGACATCACTTCCTTTGGATTTTTATAGAAAATTTGTGTCTTTGTTTCATTCCAGTATCCAACACACAAAAAAGAGATTTTATGACAGCGAGAACGACACCCGCTGAAGAAACAACACTCGCACAAACTGAACCTCGACTGAGTGTCCAACACCTGCTGTTTCTAAAGTAAATACTAAACGATTGGCCTGTATTTGAAACAAGTGATCTAGTGGTTCTGCAGTGAGCAGACGAATTTTGCAAAACCCGAGCAATAGGTTTACACATGAACATGCAGATAACAGTGAGCAAAGAGCTTTTTCTTGATAAAGAAACTTCCAAACAGCTGTTTAGGACAGATTTGAAACCCTGCTTTACATATTAGCACATATTTATTCAAAGGATACAACCATAAGTGTCAGGCTTGTGGCTAAAGATGGAAAGACAGAACAGGAGAGGTAAGCACTTTAAGTACAGACTCACTCTTCTAGCGAGATGTTAGAGTATTTCTGTGAGGAGACTGAGGATGGAGGACCAGAGGGGCTGCTGTAGTCAGGCCTGGTTGTTGTTGTTTCCGGTGTCATCCTCCTCTCTGGGAATGATGTCTGCGGGACAATTTCCAGCACTGCCCAGCACCTAACACACACAACAAAACCCTGTCATATTAATAAAGGGTATGTAATTTAGTGCTTGATGGTCTGTGACTTCTTTAACTTTGAATTAAATATTACAATTACACACAAAACCTAAAAGCATATATATGAAAAAACTCAGTGGTTTGTTAGCCGAGTAGTATTTCTATTACTCTGCAAGAAGCAAATGTATGCAAACCTTAAAAATGTAGGAAAACTGTTGAACAGTCCTACACACCAGCTTGGAGGACTTGTACACTTGAATTATCAGAACACATTCAGCTCTGGGATGTTTGTTAGTTTCATCACATGAATTGCTTGTTTCAGGCTGCTGGAAGAAGGTCAGGACTTTGACTCGGGCTTTCCAAAACATCATCTTGCTTCTTTGATCATTTTTTGGTAAAACAACTTGTATGCTGATGCTTTTTTTTTTTTAACCCACTTTCTCTTAATGTTCAATTCATGAACAGATGTTGCTTCATTCTTTATAAATTTGCAGTAATATTCTATCGATGATGACCCGCCCTGGTGCAGATTAATTATAACCGTCTCAAACAGTCATAATGCGGCCACCACGTTTTACAGATGGGATAAGCTCCCGGTTCAAACAGCCTTCTGATTCATCCTTTAGTGTTAGTAAACTTCTCATTCATGAACATGTACACAATGTGAGAAGCTGCTTAGATGTTATCCTGGGCTCCCATGTGACCTTTCACACTATTAGACACCGTGCTCTGTGAGGGAACACTGGACACTCCAGTCGGGTGAAGCAATGTTCTTCATTTCCTTCATTTGTAGCCTGTCTGTTTGACTGCTGCTGAACATCAATAAGCCTTTTTTGAGGTCCATGGAGATCTTCTTTGTTCATGATTCACTTCCTAAAACAATGTTGTGAAGCTCAGACACTGGGCTGATCCCTGATCTTTACATAAACCAGGGCACACACTCACACCTGACTGTCATCCTGCTACCTGAAAACAATAGAATAATGTAAATAATAATAATAATAATAATAATAATAATAATAATAATAATAATAATAATAATAAGAAAGGTCAAAAACTTGAGAATTTTTTTCTACTAGGCTAATTATTGGAAGCATAAAATTGCTATATTATAATATTTAACACTTCAGAAAACTCTCTTTTGATAACTGATATATTAATAGACATGTACACAATGCATATTGTGACTGGCAGTTGCATTAGTAGAGAACAGCAGCCTTGGATCTTGGAAATCTCCTAACTAACTGCGCGAGCGTCCAAAAGTCTGCATTCCCTGACAACGACAGCAGTCGTACTTCTAACCGTAGCTTAATTTCTATCCTTTGGAAAATGAAACCAACCCCGAGTCTGAGTTGGAAACAGAGACTTTGTATCCTCTGTAGGCTTTAAAAGTAGTAGACAGCATGAATGAATGAATGAATTACAAATTTATCACAAAGACTGATATCATTTTAATTATTGATACATATTAAGCAGTGGCGAAGCCTCATTTTAGTTGGCAGAGCAATACATCAAGAAAATGAGGTGATCTTTAAAACCTGACAAAGCCTCTCATGATATTATTCTACACACATAACAGCTAGTTATACTATTTTCATCCAACTGCTAGACAACACCGTTACTGGGTGTGTTGATAATTTACTCTCTCCAACACCACAGGCTGCTGTTGTGCTAGTTTCCCATTGCTATACTTGACAAGGGCATCTATTTCCTTGTGCATTATGTGTATAGGATCTCTCTGTGCAGCTTGTCTGCTGGGTTCTGTACTGCACAGCCTTGGAGCCGTGCCCCCTGCTGAAACTCCTGCTGCTCGATAGGTTGGGACAGAGTTTCAAAAGCATAGCTTATTCTGAAAAGAAACACAAGTTCTCGTGTGTAAATTTAGCAGTTTGTTTTATTTTAACTGGCTTCTTCCCCCCAAAGTAAATTTTTTTTAGTTATTATAAATATTAATGAAGCCATTTATTTGACAACAATGTGCCGAGATTAATTCTTTAATTGTTATAATTATAAATAATTCTTCTTTTGCTCATGTTTTAAACAAGATGACAACAAACAAACTAAAGAAAAGTCTGAAAAACTGAAATTGCCAATTTATGCTTACTCCAAAAGCAAGTCAGTCGCCAGGAACTCCCATGTTAAATTTTCCAGTATGCTTATAGCCCGCTGCAAAACGTTTGGTCTCTATAGCCAATTTCCCTGCTTGATGATAATTGGATAAGGGAGGAGTTGTATTATAACTCTCTTATGTTGTATTAAGGCTTGATCTGCCCACCAAACCTGGTTGTTAAAGTATTAAACATATAGAAATCCCTTGTTAATTTCTGATTGAAATAACTACGATTTACCAAAATTTTCGAAACACTTAGTTCAATTTCATTAGACAGATCCGGAGTGAGAACCATCAAACCTGTAGAATCAACAAATCACTTAAACAAAATCTGTCAGATAAACTAAAGTTTGCTAAAAGATCTAAACAAGCATCATATTAAAGCCACTGACATCTATCAGTGTGGAAAAGCCAAATCTAAGGCTTTGTGACTCCATCAAACCACAGGGAGCGTCATTATCCACAAATAGAGAAACTTGGAACAGTGGTGAACCATCCCAGGAGAGGCCAGCTCTAAGAGCACACCAATGACTCATCCAGGAGGTCACAAAAGAACATCGCTGAAAGAACTGAAGGCCTCACTTGCCTTTGTTAAGAACAGAGTTCATAATTCAACAATCAGAAAAAGTCCAGGCAAAAATGCCACCCATGGGAGATTTCCAAGGTGAAAACCACCACCGGCCAAAAAGAACAAAGGCTCGTTTCACATTTGAGCCTTTGTGTATGCAGTTTGAATCCTGCTACATCTGGCGTAAAACTAAAACTGCATTGTCTGATGTGTGCAGAATTATATAATGTTTTTTGCAGCTACCGTGTGCCACTGCATACGATTTAATCAATGTAAGCACGGTGGATTGCGGTGCAAAATAGCACTACCCTCTGGCGTGGCAATGCTGCAGATTTATGGACGTGAGTCACGCTGCCTTCAAAATGCTGCGGGGACCAAGTAAGAGAAACTTTTTATGCAGTATAAAGCTGCTGTGGACAACAGTAACAATCACTCAAATTAATATATGGATCAATATACTGGCAGTCCTGATTTAACCACATTAAACATTAATATTTGATCCCTTTAAAGAAATCTACTGGTTCAGTAATGCTTAATTAAAATAGTTTATATCGGAGTCTCTACATAAAAATGGATTTCACATCACCAGCTTCTCTCAGTGCACAGAAATAAAGCTATAATATCTGCAGAAATGGGGACTGTCATCATGTGTTGGGGACTGCGTGTCGCTTAAAAAAAATCCAAGATCAATTGTGTGACCCAAGATGAGCTAGTTACGCTAATCTGCACGGTTCAGTTCTTCGAAGCCACAAGAGAATTAGATTAGCCAAGCTGGATTCAATCATCCAAGATGACTCAGCACTCTTGTGGTCACTGCCTGAGGGAAATATATCAATACTGGAAACCATCATCAGCAACACTGTGATTGGAGGAAGAATGAACGGTAAGGTTAAAAGTTAGAAGAGCTTCTAGGGGGGTTAAAGAGAGATAACAGATGTTTTACACACGAGTAGAAATCAAAAAAAGCAACAAAAATAAAAACATGTATGAGAAGCAAAAAGGCATCAAGTTTAATGCATTAGTAATCAATACTCCTGAAATTTTCAATGTACTTTTCTACTGCAGCAGAGGAGTCATCAGAAAAGAAAACTACATTACACTTCTCAGCTTCCATGCTCTAAAAGGGCATTAAAGTCATTCGTAAAAATCAACCTTAAGAGAATAAGACTCAGAGAAACTGAATAGCATGAAGTTCCAAAAGCACACAGCAATGAGACGTATTTGTGTGCAATAAAGATCTTATTTCTTAATATTCAGAACAAGTAGCGGCACACTGAGGAGCTGGGAATTCACAAAATATTTAAACAGGTGTGTTGGATTTTTCAGCAGAACTTAATGGGCCGCAGAGCGATTAATGTTCTCTGTCCTTTTAAAGCAAAAGTGAAGAGGGAAAACGAGCTTAGTGTACACACTGATAATATTAATCTCTTCCTCTGAGGACTCCAAGGATAGAGCAGAGTCGACTTCTGAGGTAAAATAAGCTCACTGGACGCTTCTGCTGTTTGTGTATCACTCATCTCATAGCGTTACGTTATTTTGTGGGTAATTGGCAGAAAATACCACACTTTCCTCCTAATATGAAAGGTAATACATTACATGTGAATGTAGTCCCTTTCAGCTGAAGCAGGACTTCTCTAAAGGACAAGGTGGAGGATCACGATGCACACTGTTTGTCCCCTTGAAATATTCCTTCCGATGCACCAGTCGCGGCTCGGTGATGCCTGTGAAGTCCTTCGCTTAATCTTGCTCTCAGGAAATTCTGACCTGATGCTGGTGTGACAACCAATCATCAAATGATTCAAAGAGCCTCTGACATAATTTGCAAGCAAATTTTGCGCAGTAGTGACGGGAGAAGGGAGATGAGATAACGCGATCCTGCTGTCGGCCAAAAATGCAAAAATGTAAGCACATTAAATTTCATTACATCAAACCAACAATGCAAAACTGTATGTCTGTTTTTTTTTTTTTAGATTTATCATGAATTATATAAGTGCTATTTCATCACGGCTATACATATTCTCAACGTATTTGATTATCCTTGTTGACAAAAATCTGAATTTTAAACCAAGTTACCAACAGTTGTTTTTGCACAGGAAGAAAAATGTAAACATGAGGATTCTATTGCAATTCATCAAATCACCTTTTAAACTTTTACGGTTAAATGCACACAGCATTTCCCTTTGTTCTAATTAGGATATGTGATTTTACAGAAACTAAATAGAATTGCCTACATAAATTATTATTTCATTTGAATTATCAAATATATGATTGCTGTACCAACCTTTTGAATCTGTAAAGTTTGCAAATTACGTACTGCAAAT